TGTCATGTTTATTACTACATCAATATATCTCACGCATACTATACGAATTTGTAGGATACAAATGTATTTTTATTTAGGCTTCTAAATTTGATTTTAACGACTCACCTGTATTCATTTCTTTATTGTACATCTGGCTCTGCCTTCATTTCGAGCATATAACCTGCCTAACTTTTTCACGAAAGTAAACGTTTTGGTAAATTGATAGTATTAGTCGCCATGTTGAGGTTAAAAATGGATAACGAAATCTGTAATTTCTTAATTGTTTCCTGTTTTTGGTACAAAACACACCAGAGCCAGATGCATTAGCATGTGTGTTTTAATCGTGGAAAAGGAAATTTTATTCTATGCGATTAATACGAAGTATTTTGTATCCAACAAAAATAATATTTTTGTCGATAAAACAGACGGCTTTAGCATCCTCTTAACCAATAACTAATAAATGTTACGTTATGGAACACGAAATATAAAATATTATAGATTAATAGACCAACGAAAGAGCCACAGCCCAAAAGTCGCCCGTTTTCTGGACCTCGATTTATGAACCAAATTTTGTGCCAAATGATTAGTCATGATGAGACAATAATCGCATAAAATTTTTAAGTTGAACATATTACTGGTTTGCGAGATATAGGGGGTCAAAGTTGTACCTATACTTTGAGAATGTTTGGCACTATTGTGTTTTCATTGCCCTAATATTTATGTTAAAAAATATTTCCAACAGTATTTTATTTTTTGAGTCGCTAGTTACGAATTTTAAATCTAAATTCCATAATTCAATATAGTAGATCCAATATGGCTAACCGATATTGCGAAATTCAAAATAATCTAAATGAAAATTGCTTCTCGGGGATTTTTTAGGTCGCTGATTACGAATCTGAATTCAAAAATTCAAAATAATTTAACTAAAGATTGCTTCTCAAAGATTTTTTAAATCGCTGATTGCGAATCTAGTCTGAATCTTGAGTATATCTTGTTTTTCTGGCTAGATTTTTATCACATCTTGTTTTTCTGGCTAGATTTTTATTACATCTTGCCTTTACTGGCTAGATGTTCAATATATCTTGTCTTCAGTGGCTTCATCTTTATCACATCTTGCCTTTTCTGACTGATTCTTGACAACATCTTGCTTTCATTGGTTGGATTTGACGTATATCTTATCCTTATTGATTGGATATTCACCACATCTTGCCTTCACTGGTTTGTTCCTGACAACATTTTGCGTTTATTGCTCGGACCTTGATAGCATCTTATCTTCATTGGTTAGTTCCTGATATCCTGATTGCACAGTCAAGATCTTGATTAAACTTTTCCTTTATCAGGTGGATTTTAATATTGATTTTTAATAGTTCTCTTGCTTATGGTGTAGAGATTCTTTAAGACACTATTACAAATTCTATCTGAAAATAACTCTAAAACTCCGTAAATTCCTCATGGAAGATCTCCCGATATTTTTTTACTCATCTATCCCGTATAAAAAACCCCAAATCATTCCTTGCCTGTTTTTTATAATCTTTTAAAGACGAATGTGAACTACGCGTAACTCTTCTAGATTCCAGTTTTCACAAAAATCTTGTTTTTACGTATCTGCATTCACCATATTAGATCCAACATTTTGAATTTATTTTGCCCGACAGATTCACAGTCATCAATTTGAAAACCTCCGTAGACTCCAGTTTCCACAAAAATTAATGACATTTTTGGATTTGTATCCACTATATTGGATCCGCCATTTTGAATTTTGGAATTCAGACTTTAGATTCATAATCAGCAATCTAAAAGATTCCCGAAAAGTAATATTCATTCAAATTATTTTAAATTTCGCAATATCGGGCAGTCATATTGGATCCGCCATTTTGAATTTTAGAATTCAGATTTCACGTTCGTAATCAGTGACCCAAAAAACATTAAAATATGTTGGGACTATTTTTTAACGGTTTTTTAAACTTTTTTTTTTTAGTTTTTAACATGAATATTAGGTCAATGAAAATACAATAGTGTCATACTTTCTCAAGCGACAGGCACCATTTTAATCCTCTATATTTCGAAAACCAACCATTGTTCAACTTAAAAATTTTATGCGATTATTGTCTCATCATGACTAATAATTTGGCACAAAATTTGCTTCAAAATTAGAGATCCAGAAAATGGACAACCTAAACACCTAATTTTGGACTGGCTCTTTCTTGTAATCCCGAGGGATTATAATAAAAATATATTGCATGCTACCGTGTATAGAGTAAAACATATCAATAACGCATAATCAGGAGACACGTAGTGGCTTGGTGTCAAGTGTTTAAAATATCATATAGTAAATTTACGTTAAATTTGAATATTGTTTAAAATTAAGTCGTGGGTCAAGATTATATCAATTTTCGCGTCGTGAATTTCTGTAACAACTATCGTAAATTTTCATCCATTTTTATTATACCTTGATCCATTATATCTCCATTAAATCTAGAGAGTTCTTCCTAAGCTCCATAGCATTCTAATTCCATTAAGAGCGCTTTACACGACGCTACTTTTATTCGCTTTGCTTCATAATTTGTCAGCAAAATCGTTGATTAAAAACTTCTTCTAAACGTTTTTTATTCGCTAGCGTCTAAAATTTTGCGGCGTTTAATAGTCGCTGCGATAAAATCGGACACGTCCAACTTTAAGCTCAACATCTTTTTTTGCCAAGCGAATAGCCGGATGATTTTAGCAGCAGCGTTAAAAAAATTCCGTGTCAAGACGATAGTGAATGAATTAATGAGCGATTGTTCAGCGAATAGTTCAGCGTACGCAAGTATGAATTATAGCCAGCTGTCCTGACTAATTCAGTCCTGACTAAACACTGGCGACTTTATAATGTTTATCAGCAACGTATAAATAGCTTAACGCTTAATTGCGATTATATCAAAAATTCAATATAGAAGAGCGAGAATCTGGCGATAGAAGAAGCCAGCGACAAGTATAATCGAAAGCAGCTTCGTAGAGCAGTTTTTACGCAGATAATAATTACAAGCCATGTGCTCCCCCCCTCTCTCTCTCTCTCTCTCTCTCTCTCATGCTCCCCTCCCTCCCTATCCCTCTTCTTCCACGTAAAGTGAAGAGGAAATGAAATGAAATCTAGCAGATGGATTTGTCGTCATCTTATATGTCTGTCTAACAAGTTCCTTTATCGATAAACTCCCGTGAACCGCGTTTCTTTATCCTTCAATTACGATCCATATTCAATACTTTACTTGAATTTTTATATCTTGTTTAACGTAATTTCTATAGATTGTTTAAGAAAATATCAGAGCGAAAAAAAGTCGCCTATCTTTGTGTAATTAAAAATTTTTAATCGTATTTTTGTCGGTAAATATAACAAATTACATCGGATTAACAATATTGATCAAGGAATTTATTTTCAGTATCAAACGTAACTGTGACATTTGCTCGAAGAAATTGTAGCCTCAAATAATTAAAGGAAATACCATTTGCGCGTTTTTTGTCAAAAAACATAATTTAAATTATAAATATAATTTTATTTATGCCTAAGTCTTTGTCTCTCTAAGTAGAGAGATTTACTTTTTTGTTTTTACTCTCGCTGCGTTATTGTTGCAAGTGTAAATTCTAGAGAATGAGTAATTCGCGCGCGCTGAGTCAGTTCACGAATATTCGAGATTTCGACGGGTTTTTAAGCCGGATTTACATTCGGAGCACGGACGTTTCATTATGCATGTACATACATCTGTCTCGCGCAAGAACAGTGACTCATTTCGGAAATCAAAAAGTGGCTGCGTTGTTCATTGAAAGAGACCTCTCTTCGTTCTCGTTTCAGGTCAATGGCAAGGATGTCGCGAACAAGGAGCAGACTGAGAATCTGTTCGCGGAGACGAAAAACGCAGTGACTATTCTCGTCAGCCGATGTGTATATCAAGTTCGTTTTCTCATCCTTATTACAATGTTCAAAATTTTTAATTTAATATAAAACTAAATAAACTTAAAAATATATTAAATGAAAAATACAATGTAGAAAAGTGGCATAGATAAAAAAATCATTACATATAGTGATTCCTCTTTAAGAAAAAGATTTATTTTGTGTAATATAATAAATAATTACTATACTTCCAAAAAATAATTGCATTTGTTTTATTATTATATATAAGTAAAAAGTACATACATAAGATACACTTTTTATACATTTTCATATTATCAATCAATTTACTTCTTTTATTTTAGGACGATGAATACGATGACAGGCGCATCTATCATCAGGTAAGTCGAATTACATAAAGCGACCAAAAAAGCATTCGATGTTTGCGCGCGGTATAGATCTCGCTATCTATCATGAACCATGATTCCGCTTCAGGGTTCGCCGCCGCTCTCGCCCGAGAACCTGCCAGCGTATCAGAACAGCATGATCGAGCAGCTGATCCGTCAACAGCAGCAGCAAACGGAGGAGCGTACCAAAGAGAGCGAGGTAAACAACTGCACCCTGAAAGCGGCTCCACCTATACCATCTCATACTCAGCAGCAGCAGCAGCAGCAGCAACAGCAGCAACAACAACAGCAACAACAACCACCGCCGCCGCCGCCGCAACAGCAGCAATCTGTCAACATCTTTTCCACGAACTCGTCGTCCACGTGTTCGTCACAGAACTCACACAAATCCACCGGCAAAAACGCGACTTCGCCGGTGCATCATACGGAAGAGCGCAGCAAGCAATGGATGCAAGAATCGCTGAAGGATTGTTCAAAGAGGCTCGAAGGTATATCCCTCCGTGGACAGCAGTCCGGCCCGCTGGCGACGGCACCGCCATCGGTGAAACTCATTGAAGCGTATTCAAGTCACGTGTGGAGTGATACTGAGCACATCTACGAAACGATACCGGAGTCGGATAGCGAGCCAATTTACTCGTCGCCGTACGAGCACCACCAGCAACACTGGACGCAACAGCCAAATCACGTTGTCGCCGCGACAACACAATTGCAGCATGGCAGCACTACGCAGAACCACTTGGCCAGCGGCCAGCAAAATCAGAAATGGCACTCCTCCTCAAAGAGCAACAGTTCCGGCGAGGAGAAGGATAGTTCGAGCGCTTACAACACCGGCGAGTCCTGTCATAGCAATCCTCTGACTTTGGAGTTGCATCAGGGCGAGAGGGATCATCACAAGAGCACACTAGTTCTGTGCCCACCGAAGACACCGCAGCAACAACAACAGCAACAGCAGCAGAAGCTCGGTTGCAATTGTCCTATGCCAGTGACGCCGACCGCGACATCCGCGGTGACAAGGCAATCGTCGAAGAACCAAAGCGTGAAGAAGAGCTCATTGTCGCATCATCACAAAGATCGCAACGAACCTCCGTCGATAAACGCCAATACGCTGCCGGCCGATACTATGTACACGAACGTGGCGAATCTGCAGCAGACGATGATGCTGCAACAACAGCTATTCAAGCAGGCGCTCAACCGCAAGAACCTCACGACATCCAGGGAGATGTCCACGGGCGGCGCAAGGAAATCCAAATCGCATGGCAACTTTCAGGCGCCAAATCTCACGCAGTACCAGTTTGTCGGCAGCCAGCAGGTGTGCACATCTACGTGGATTCCGCCAGAGGACAAGAGCGAAGTCCAAATGGAATGGAAAGTGAAGAGGAGGGCGGACGGAACGAGATACATCGCCAGACGGCCCATTAGGAATCGGATACTCCGGAACCGAGCGATCAAGATAACCGAAGAAAGAGCCGGTCACACCACTGAGGATGATACTATCTCGGAGATGAAGGTGAGTGCCGATTGATAACAAATCAAACCTTTTTTTGAATTAAATTTGAAGAGACAATAAACTTTTAGTTCTTCGAGTTTTACACATGATCTACACGATAAAAAAATCTACGAGATATCGTTGCATCTTATCAAGGGAGAAAGAAAGAGTAATCGAATAACATCAATGAGTGAAATATATAATACCATTTTATCTTATTCTATTGCTTGTAAAATATACTTTAAAAATATTTTCCAGATATCTTTTTTATTTGCTTTCTGTATATAATATACAGCCCACGAGATTTGATACGGTAATTACCGGGCACCCTGTATATGGAAAATATTTTTAAAATATATTTTACAAACAATAAAATAAAATGGCCAGAGAAACGAACAAACAAAGATAAAACAAAATATAACAAATGCAATTATTTATACATCCAAATAAAAAGTAGAATAAAATTTACAAATAAGAAATAGAAAAATGTTTCGTGCTCATTAAGTTTTTATCAGCTAATAAATAAATAATTAATTTAAAAAGTATATAAAAGATAAATGTTAGTTACATAAAAATTCAAGAACATACATATTAAATATGTAGAATTAGGTTCTCTTATAAAAATAATAAAATAATAAGCCATATCAAAAACTAACATGGCCGTATCCAAGGGGAAAGGGGTTCAACCCTCAAGTTTTTCTCACGAAGATAACGTGCTAAGTGCTACGCAATAGAACTAAAAAGTAACTGAAAGTTTCTTTATTTTATATTCTCCTCTATATTTTTTAGGAAAACTTGTACTCGCAAATGTGAAATTTACTTATCTTTAGTTATCAGTGTAGGAGTCGAAATTTTTCAAAACCTAATATTTTTTATAAAATTTATGATATGATATTTGATGATGATATTTATGTAAAATATTGAATAAAACAATTTATTAATGCAAAAAATTGCTATTTATGCGTTAAGTTAACAGGATTGATAAACCATTCTCTCCTCCGCTCCCTTCCCCCCGAAAAAACTCATGGACTACGTCCATGAAAGCTGAACATACATAAATAATACGAAAAATAATAATATGAAAAATATTATGAAAAAGTTAATACAAAAAATATCCAACGAAAAATTAAAGCGAGAATGTGGTTTATTATTATATGAAAAGCTATAATACTAGTTCTTTGTTTTCGCGGAATGAGAATGTGTTAAGTCCATGCTAATAAATATTAGCCAATGCATGCATGCACTTTATAACGTGAAGCAAAGTTCCACATGGGTTTACAACTTTCCACGCGAAATGATTTTTATTAATATTTTGTTAAAAACTTTTTAATAAATAATGACCGTCAGCTAAAACTTCTCAACAAACGAAAATTAAATTCAAAAGATTTGAAAATTGCAATTTATTTTAATTTATCTAAATTGGCGTTTTAGAGTCCGGGAGATGCATTTATGTTCCCATTATATTATTTTTAGATTCAAATATGTAAATTGACAGATTAGAATCAGCGTAGTTATTGGTATGCACTAATTGATTTATATGAAATTTGCTTTATTCTAAAGTTCAAGCTTTATTTCCGAAAAATTTAAGAACAGTGTTAAAAACAACGACGCGAAATTATCTTTTCACAGCATTAATAAACTGCAAAGCATTATCAAGGTATGTACATAAAGATCAATTACCACATTACCTAAAGAAGAATGTAGTTTATAAAATTTCATGTAAAAACTGCGATGCGTTCTACGTAGGTCAGACAAAGAGATTTTTAAAGACTAGAATTTCTGAACACAAAAATGATATCAATAGAAATACCAACTCTCACTCGGTCTAACGGACCATAGATGCATTCACAATCATGATTTTAACTGGGAGAATGTGGAAATTCTGGATGTAGAGAGAAATTTTAATAAACGATTAATATATCAGAAATGATCAGCATTAAACGCCAAAAAAGTAATATTAACTTGCAAACGGACACCGAATACTTAGATTGTGCTTATACTCTGTTATCATGATTACAAGCCATTGTTTATAAAGATATAATAAAGAGACGAAAACAATTTTTGTCCTACAGGCACTGGTGATAAAGAACGATATATAATAGGGCATTACTCGCTCCGACTTTGACGAGTACAGTCGCTACGATAGTTTTATCTTTTCTTTTATTTTAAATTGTGACCAAGTTTTACATCGTTTATTTTTAACTATTTATTTTTGACCAAGTTTTATACATTTCCGTTATTTATTAATTGTATCGTTACCAAGACTCGAAGTGTGTGTTTTATTACGTTCGAAGTGGGTGAACTTTAGCATAATTCTTTTAGATCAAAATTCTATTTTTTGTACTGATTTTAATTTGAGGACATACAGCTAGACCATGCAGCCCTTCAATTGCACGGACAGTTATTGGAGGTACCTAAAACTACTTCCTCACTCACTAGATGTGGAAGAATATACGCGTTAGGAAACTAAAGATGCAAATTCATGAGACGCTCGTTTTAGCGTTAGAGCCGTGGCACATAGAAAAACTTAAGCAGTAAGATGTAAGCAGTAAAGAAATCGTCATGTTGGATTTTTGGTAATCATGACTTCGACTTTGACGCTAGCGTCAAAAAAAGAAGCTGGATTTTCTTTATTGCCGCTTTTCGTGCAAGCCAACTATAATCACGTAATTTTGACGCCAAAAATTAGCGTTGAGCGTCAGCATGAAAAGGCACCTTAAGAGCGAGAGTTTAATGTAATTTTTTTTTAATTCGTCACTGAAGATGGCTAAGAAAGATAGCCGAAACGTCAAAAAAACTGACTTTAGAATAAAGCAAATTTCATATAAATCAATTAGTGCGTACCAATAACCACACTGATTTTCCATCTGTCTTACTTATGTATTTTTAATTTAGGGAATTCTGTTTAAGTTTTTATTGTATATAAATTGAAATACGAAATGATCTATTCGTCATGTTGAATATATTCATAAGTGTATTGTATTATTTTTGGATTCAAATTAATGGATTCAAAAAGTCAGAAGCGTCAATTCGAAAATGTCGAAATGAATTTATTTCATTTTCGTTTTTAAAAATTGTTCAGGATCATGACTTTGACAACATATGTCGAAGTCAAAGGTGCCTTCCCTAATTAACATCTTATATTGTATCTTATATTGTATCTTATATTGTATCTTAAAAGTTAAATGACTCAATTTATTGAATGTCTTATTGACATTTATATCAAATTATCTTCTTTTTTTTAAAAAGGAAAATTCGAAATTCCACATTAGTATAACGCGCGCATAATTGCAAATAAAAAAGAAAAGAAAATAGAAACACATTAGCCGCTTGTATTGTGTTATTAAATGACTTGTTAGTTATAATGAAATAGAATAAAATGTGTTTTTCATTAAGATTTCGTCATTTAACCTCCATTTATCTTGGATGTCGTTGAATTATACATAAAAACACATAATTCATGTCAAAATGTGCTATTATGAAATATAAAATATTTTGTAAACTATTAATTTAATGATTTTCTTATGTATATACAAGATAAAAAATGTCAAATGTAGTGGGCCGAGCTTACAGCTATTATATTATAGCTTTATCTAATACTTTTATATACAGAGTAATTAAAGAAATCATATTATGTAAAAAGAATTATATAGTCTCATAAAAAACGACAGTATTCTTCATTAAGCCTTAAAAAATTGTTTTTTTTTAATTAATTTTATTATTATTTGTGCTCCTTCAAGTCATAGTCTGCCCTAAAAGTAATGAGACTAATTCTGGAAGAACTTTTTATTGAAAATATACTTAATATTTTTCAAAGTAGGATTGAGCGTCAATACATTTCTGCGTCACTGCCACTCTTCGTAGCAGCGCAGGAAGTCTTGACCGGACATACCTTCCAGAGCACTCGTCGCGACTGCTTGGACCTTTTTTTAATCGTCTTAAAATGATGGTTCATGATTTTGGGACGAAGAATGGCAGTGACGCTGAAACCGCTGTATTAATGCTCCAGGATCCTACTTTGAAAAATATTAAATATATTTTCAATAAAATTATTTTTTCAGAATTAGTCTCATTACTTTTGAGACCTGCATGTATAACTTTTGTCTAAAATATTTTTCCGTATTTTCCATATTTTTTTAAATATTTGGCCTATTATATTTTTCATGTATATATACATCAAAAATTACTTCTATTATGATTTTGGATTGTTTTCGCTAAATCGATCAGTCAATTTATTATTTATTTGTTTGCATACTATTTATTTATTTTATTCATTTATATGTTATTGTTTTTTCTAGGTCGGACGCTACTGGAGTAAAGAGGACCGTAAACGGCAGCTGGAACGCGCACGCGAGCGCAAGCAACGTCAACAGGAACTGCTGCTGCAGCAACAACAGCAGCAGATGCAACAGACTAACGACATGCTGATATGCGAACACACGGAGGACAAGGTGTCGAAGAAGCCGTTGAACATCGTCGAACTAAGTCACAAGAAGATGGCGCGTAAAAAGACGACTCTAGACGATTTCACCACCGTGCAAGAAATGCTGGTTCATGGAAACAGGGTGGGCGCAGGTGGACCTGGCACGGGGGGGAAATTAATGGGTTTACTGTCGGTTACCACGGTGTAAGCGTTTATGTACCCTCGATGTTCGCCAAGATGACCGTTCGTCGCACGAATATTGGAATTCCCGAAACGGCCGCGAGAATATTTTACAGGCACAATTATTGTGCGAGTGATTTTTATACCGCGTCAGGTAAAGCCTGAAACCTTTACGTGGCGTAATACTCATCTCGAATTATCTTTTATACCAACCTCCCGCCTGCAAATATGTGCCTCATGCAAAGGCAACGTCGTAAAGTCGGAATGATCCTTCTTGATGAAAGAGCTAGCGTTCGTCTGAATAGTCCGTACTGCTTACTTGATATATACATATATATACGTATAAAAGCTAGACAAAATAATGTAAACATCTGTGAAATACATTACTTGTTTTATTAATAAAAGATTCATTATTTAATAAATAGCTCTATTTTCCAGATAACACAAATGATCGTTATGACGTCAAAAAGAATTTATTTCCGGTAATACAAAAAGGATTACTATAGAATTAAAATTAATCACTCGTTCATTATTGTAAAATAATAATAATGTAATCTCTAAACAGGCCAATTGACAATAATAGATGTAAAACATTAACTTTACTTTTTCTTTAGTAGCACAATATTGGCAAATTTTCATTGGCACAATATTGGACCAATGTATTCCCAATATAAATTATACATTGGACCAATATTAGACCAACAAATTGTGCTACTAGAGTTCATTATTAACAATATAGCAAAACAAGTTTCAACCTTACTAGGTCTTTCTTAATCGCAAACTTAATAATTAAACTTAATTTAAAATTAGTAATTTTTTAATTTAGTAAAATTAAAGATCTGACATTCCCGAAAATTATATATTTATGTTTGCTGGAATGCTATATCTAAAAACTATTTTGATGTCATTGCGAAAATTTGTATAGATTATAAAAAGATAACCTTTTATATCTGAAAGATCTCAGAATTAGTGACATAAAAGCGAAATCTTTTGGAACTTTTGAATGTTTTTGGATAAAAAATGGAAGAAGTATGTATGTACATTTCATAATTCGGGGATTAAACAAAAATTATTTTTGAAATCTGTGCTGTCTCTGGGTTGTCTTTATAACATATTGTAACGTATTTTATCCTTATTAGAATAAAATCACTAAAATTGGTAAGTAACACGTTATTTGTAACGTCGTTACTGTTACTTTTTTCAGTAAAGAATGAGTAATGATGTTACATTTCCTCATGAGTAACGTACATTACGTTTCTTTAATGGTAACGCAATTACAGTTTTTGAGTAACGGTAATGATTTGACTACCCAGTAAACGAAAACGAAAAAGGGTTGAGTAGTGCCTAGTTAAAAAGATAAAAGTTAAGTTAAAAAGTTAAAAAGTTAAATAATTTTAACTTAACTTAGTTACATTTTAGACTTTTAACTTTTAACTTAATTTTGTTACATTTTTAGTGCTTCTTGTAAACCCAAAATAAAATACATGTCTAATAGTTAGTGTCTTCAAACTCAAATTTGAGAACACACATCAAGGCAATTGTAATAATATAATAAATTTAGTCTGTCGCGGAAAGGAATCACTATTCGCGGACCTTCTGTGTATTAAATCACGTTGGAAGAAGTCCTTCAAAATCGGTCCTCTTTCCGTGGCTCGACAGAAATAAGTATAACAAATATATACTTTATTTAGAAACCCTAAAATTATCAAATGAAAAAATTTAACTTTGACTTTTCAATTACTTTTTTTTCTTAACTTAACTTTTAACTCAATTAATTTTATTATGGACTAACTTGCATCTTAACTAAGTTAAATTTTTAGACTGTTAACTTTAACTTAACTTAGTTAAAAAAAATATTAACTTACCCAACCCTGAACAAAAATGAATTAAAATGAATAGAAATGAATTTATTTCGATATTTCCAAATTAGTGCTTCTAATGTTTTGAATCTATTTCAATCCAAAAATAATAATGTAATAGGGACATGAATACATCTCCGGACTATAAAGTTCGCGCCAACTCGGATAAATTAAAATGAACTGCAATTTTCAATTTATTTGAATTAATTTTCGATTGCTGGATAGTTATTTTTACGTTATTTCTAGCATCGCGATTGGGGTATGTTCAGATTCTCACCTGAGTGCTGCTCAGATATCATTTTGTTCATGTGTATCCTTGTCACTCACTAAATATTAAACAATTAAGAATAAAGTGACAGCTTAGTAGCGTTTAGGTGGAAATCTGAACGCACTGTGGTTGAGACACTTGAGACTCAATCAAAGTCCTTCATATATATTAATTATATGTATATAATATAGTATACATATACATATATATAGTATACATATACATATATATATATATATATGTATATGTATATGTATTATATGTATACAGGGTGGTTCACTTAAATCAAACATCTTAAATACCTCAATTATTTTTGTTGATACAAAAAAATGTTTTCAAATATCAAAATATGACATGATAAAGTATAAAATATCTCATAAATTGATTTTTCTATAATATAAATTGATTTTCACTATTGATTTTTCGATAATTCTATTAATACTTTTAGATGCAGAATAATTGGTGGAATTATATTACGTAAAAAAAATCATATAATTTCATTTAAAAAAATGAAAGTGACTTTTATACCTTTTTGACGCCTTCGCCTAGAAAAAAACGACGTGACCAAAATACTTAATCTGAAATCTTTTTTTGTATCATCAAAAATAAGTAAGATATTCAAGATATTCGATTTAGGTGGACCATCCTGTATAATTAATCCGTCTCGCGTGTACTCTTTAACGCCAAGATACGACCGTGTCTTTTGACATTAGATTTGAGTCCTTATCCTTTATTAGAAGATAGAATTCCAGGACGTTTTCTATTTATATTTACTACAAAAATTTTCATATAACATTTTATTAACATTAAAGAAAAAAGTAATGTAAAATAGTAACGACTCATTACTGTTTTACACTTACACTTGATGTTAATAAAATATTATATATAAAAATGTTTGTAATTTGTTAGTTCTTGTGTAACAGTAATGGTAACAAATTACTTTTTAGAAAAAAAAACCGGTAACGGTAACGAGTTACTTTTATAAAGTAACTTTGCCAACCCTAAATCATACAATTTGAATAGTAATCAGTGCAGTATTATATCTTGCATTGCTTATAAAATATTGAAAAAGGAAATCTGCTTCTTATTCTGCTTTTCAAAACTGCTCACAATAATTCGATAATATCTAATTAGACGATTACAATTAAGAAAGATGAAATTTTGAAGAACAGAGAAATATTGAGAAATCAATTTTGGAAAATAGAGAAAAGCAAATTTTCCCCTCTAACATTACCATAGACAATTGATATTCTGTTAAAGGAATAGTACAACATTCCATTGGTAATTATTCAAGCATTATATGATTCTAACAAAAATAGAATCTACATTAAAGACAAACTTGTATAATAAAAAGTTGGTGGACCAATCTTTTATTAATAAAATAAATAGTGTATTTTCCAGATATTCACATTATTTTATCTATCCCCTGTATATGGTACAAGCACATAAAATTGATTGCATTGGAGAATAGTTCTCGTTATATATGGCATGTATATGCACGTGATTTTTAACCCAATCTAGTACGAAATGACTTAATTTCGAGACGGTTATGTAAGAACACTGAAAATTGATCGTTTTTGGTCTTTTTCTTGCTGCATATAACTAGAACAATGTTCAAACCTTTCATGATAAAGACACGCCAGTCTGCAATAAAGCGAGAGAAATATAAGGAGGGACAAAATATTTATATATAAATATATGGTCAAATTGAAAGCAAAATTTGAGAATTTAATTCGGAGAAAGAAATAAATGGAATATAGTTCTCAGAAAGAGAACTTATGTTATTATTATATTTAAGAGAATTAAAATTTATAATACAAAATTGATTGAAAATACAGGGGTTTTCTATCATTGAAAACAAGCCCGAAGATTTCGAATAACAAAATAACATAACTAACAAATAAATAAAAAAATAACGCAAATAACATTTACACAACACAAAATTTTAACGTTAGCTATTTTTACATTTATGTTGTTATCATTTTGTAATATTTTTCTAATGATCTATTTACAATCAAGAATCCTGACGAAAACCAAGTCAGAGAATAGCAGATTGCTCCCTTAAAAGTCACAGAATTGTGAGACACTCGAAACTTTCGGATTTGTCCTTAATGACAAAAAATTCCTATATATTTAACAAATTTTGTTTTACTAATTAATTTTCTACGTCTCAGTTAATAATTAATAACACCTAAAAGTATTACAGTATCTATTTATTTCTTTAAAAAAAGAAATTCGTAAATTTCGCCTTCAAATTGATTATGCGAACTTTCTGTTCCCTTTTCAATTGTCGCTGTTGTATGTGAACACGTGTGTGAAGTTTGTACGGCACGTTCGCTCTAATCATTCTTGTAAATAATTACGGCACGACATATATAGATTGTTTTACATATAGGACGAAAAGTATTCTACGGGCAAAGATCGGTGATCATAGGTTTGTAGATATGTATGATAAGCGATAAGTATAATTACTGTGTGGCATGCATCAATATCCATTTTGCTTTGTGCATTATGACGGAGATCGCGGCAAAACACTGTATATCCCGAGGACCATCGCCTTGACGTCGGTTTCATAGCCAATTAATTTTCGTGGACGGATTCCAAATTAAAAAAAAAAAAAAAGAAACATTATTCATGATGGCAACGCTGCTTTTTTATGTGCAAAAACATTGCTATTTACGAATTACATCGTGTATCGGTGTAATTTTTGCATCTTTTTCGTAAAGTGTCTGCAAGATAAACGCGAAATGTAAAAGATATGTTTGAGGAGATCTGAAACATCCTGTGTAAATTGTTTTATTCTCATGCATATAACTCGTGTGTGTACCGAGTCGTTTATTAATCTTATTTCTTTCTCCCAGAAAAAGTAATCACATACTAGAATCCTGTACTGCCAATGTCTATATATATATGCCCCGTAACTCTTTATATTTTAAAGCGTATATGGAGAAGGGAAACTGTGAATCAAGTGTGACACCTCAATAGATCAATTATTGCGTACTTCCGAAAATCTACTGACGAAAATCTACTGTGTAATGTATGATATGTTCTGGGAACGATGAAATAAAATGAAATAGATATAAAATATCGTTGTAGAAAATATATTGTACGATTTAAATTGTAAGCACATAAACAACCGTATACGTACGTATGCTGTCTTTTATATGTAGATGCGATATAATGATTCTAAACATGTGTAATGTAAATAAAAAATAAAACCCAAATAAAGTATAGTATTAATATATGCAATGGTTGCAACAAATTAATATGTGTCGTGATCTCTAAGATAAAGTGCAAGCAGAATAATATCATTCAACAAAAATGAGTTTTCTTCAAACTCAAGAATAAGAGAATCATTTCTTATAGTATAATTTTGGGCGATCCTGTTTATTATATCCTATCACTTCAATTTTGAGAAATTTATGGTGAAAGTTGAAAAAAGAGCTTTTTGATATATTATAACTATAATATGTGATATGTATAGGAAAAGTTTTATTACAAAATTAAGTATGTTGTTAGGAACTTTCAGTTTTTAAAATAAATAAATTACACGAAAGTTCAAACTAGATAAATTTTTAATAAAATGTGGTCAGAAGATCTTGGTGCTTAATAATAACTGTATGAATCGTACAATAATTTTCAGTTGAGATAAACTGCGTGCTGAATATTTGTCGATCTTAAAACACAACTCCAAACTGAATCCGGACTACATAATATCACAATTAAATTGACAAGCAATTTAATAATTTTTGATACTTAATAATGAGCATTTTATTAAATCCTATTTCGAGGTCTCGAAATTAGATTTCATATTAATGTTTGTTTATATGTCGCCTAAAAAATTATTTCTTTCCATATTTACTTATAGTTATTATTACGATAAATTTGCCACATGCCTCTGACGATAAGTATCGAACGGTAAGACGCCCGCCCGGAGAGTAGGAAGCTCCAGATTCAAATCTTGGCTAATATTTTTCGTAATAAGTTAGTCTACAGAATTTAATAAGATTTTAATGCTCATTGACATAAAAAATTATTAAATTACTTGATAATTTAATTGTAATATTACGTAATTCGGATTCAGTTTGGAGCTGTGTTTTAAAACCGACAAATATTTGGTGCGCAGTTTACTTGAACTGGAGTGGAATAGTTCTGACATATTCAATTAGATACACAGCAGTAAATTAATTAATTAATTAACTAATGGAAAAATTTAGCAAAAAATCGCGCAGATATTGGCCATTTAAATGTTAGATTTAAATGGTAGATGGAATCAATATTGTGGAACGCAATAATTCTGGATCCTCTTTGTCATCATTATCTTCATCTCCAAATTCTATGAAGAAATTGCATTCTCTTATTAATTCTTAAATATTACACGACAGGTCGTTTGTATGAAACTTACGTAAAACATTTGCGCTTTTAATTCCGAGATCTATCAATTCATCATCGTCTTCTTCCTCATCCTTGTTATCGAAAACTTAAATGTTGATATGATTGTACAATTAGTACAGTTATTATTAAGCACAAAGATCCACTTCAGATCGCATTTGGCATTACTAAAAATTTATCTAACTAAAGGTGGTTTTATCGCTGAACGCGATAAAACGATATAAACGATATAACGATATAACCTTTTTTATTTTTACGCCAACTCAATAGTGTGACGTTGTCACATAAACGTCACACAATCGCAGGGTGTCCCGTAACGCTTAATTAATATTTCAAGGCGCGAAAGAAAATGAAATTTTGAACTAAAAGTTCCTCTTTCAATTTTGATTTAGACCATTATTTACAGAGTTATTAACTCTGAGAATAAATTAATATTAATGATTAATAAATTAATCAATCAGATCGCGCTTAGCCGGAGTACGCAGGGGCGTAGCGTGCCGTATGTGCGGCTCTTCGCGCTCACTTCACATACATTCTCCCGATTACAATTTTATTCTAATTTTTTATATTAATAAATAAGTAAATGAAATAAATCAATAAATAAGGTAGCTAAATAAATAAATAAATACATAAATAAATACACAAATAAATAATTAAAAATAAATTTCATTATCAAATTAAATGTTTATAAATAATTTATTTATAAAACTTCTTCAAAAATTGTTTTAACATGCATGATTCTTACGTATTTTTTTCGTAAAAATCAATGGAACTATCAATTTTTACTTAACGTCAATTTTTAAGAAATCGTTTGTACAAATTGCTTGCAAACAATTTATTTTTACAATTTTTTTTTCTACGAAAAAAATACGTAAGAATCATGCATAGCAAAACAATTTTTGAAGAAATTGTGTAAATAAATTATTTACAAACATTTAATTTGATAATA